GTTTGTAAGCTCTGAGACTCCAAGTGAAGGGCGGTGTATAAATCCAAACTCTCCTCCTCCTCTTCTTCTTCTAGCTGGAAACTCTTCTTCTTTTTCTTCTTTTTTTAATTTGTAAATTTTATTACATTCAAAAATTAAAAATTAAAACAATGGTACATCAACACCAGTAAAACAAACAAAACAGAACAAAGAAAAGGGCCTTGGATTATATATAATAAGTATAAAGTTCTTTTGGAATTTCTCTGTTCTTTGCCAAATAATTTAAAATAGGGGACCAGGTTTTTTTGAAGACAAAGAATTGAAATTAAAAGTTAATTTAGATAAAACATATCGTTCTCAAAGTCTGGAAACCTTCTGATTCAATTTCAACCCGTTGGTTCTGGTCCGACCTTCTGGGGCAACAGAAAACAACTCCACACAATTTAGCGAAAACATATCGTTCTCAAAGTCTGGAAATCTTCTGATTCAATTTCAACCCGTTGGTTCTGGTCCGACCTTCTGGGGCAACAGAAAACAACTCCACACCGCCTTTCGCAAACCAAAGCCAAGAACCTTTTCCGCTCCCACGCTGCCCTGCGAGCCGTAAGAACATCAGAAGTGCCCCTGCTGGATCAGGCCCGTGATCCATCCAGTCCACACCCCCCCCCCCCCTTTCCATCCGCTCCTCACCTGCTCCTGACTCATCCTCAGCTTCTCCAAAACGACAGGCAGGGAGATCTCCTCCAAGTCACTAGAGAAGAGACAACAGACAACCTGGTTGAGATTTCTGTCTCAGGGATGGGGGGGGGGGGTATCCGCTCCTCACCTGCTCCTGAGTCATTCCCAGCTTCTCCAGAACGACGGGCAGGGAGATCTCCTCCAAGTCACTAGAGAAGAGACAACAGACAACCTGGTTGAGATTTCTGTCTCAGGGATGGGGGGGGGAGGTGGGGCCAGATGGAACCCCCCCCCCATCCCACAACACCAGCCAAGCATACCCCTTGGTTCCACAGATTATATCTGCCACAGGCTTCTTGGGAGACATGATGGCACTCAAAGCAGGGCAGCCCCATGTGAAGAAGAAGAAGAAGAAGAGATGGGAGTGATACCCCGCCCTCCAGTCTGCAAAACCTACGTCTGCAAAACCTGAGCAGGGCTGTTAGTGACATCTGGGAGGACGTTCACTCATACGGTCACTGTAAGTCCGAAGCAACTGGATGTCACATCACACGGACAAAAAAGACTGAGGTGTTCACCAGTGTTCCCTCTAAGCTGAGTTAGTGTGAGCTGGCTCACATTTTTTTTAGCCTCCGGCTCACACCTTTTTGTCTTAGCTCAGGAAGGAGGGCTCCAGGGCGAACTAATTGATGTGGCAGCCAAATCGCTCATTCACAACATTAGAAGAAGAAGAGAAGAGATTGGAGTTATACCCCGCCCTTCACTACCCAAAGGAGTCTCAGAGCAGCTCACAAACTCCTTTCCCTTCCCCTCCCCACAACAGACACCCTGCGAGGTAGGCGGGGCTGAGAGAACTCTTGAGAGAAACAGCTCTTTTTTCAAGAACAGCTCTTATCAGAACTAGGGCTTGCCCAAGGTCATCCAGCCAGGTGCAAGTGGAGGAGTGGGGGAATCGAACCCGGTTCTCCCAGATCAGACTTCTGCATGCCGAGCAGAGGCTCTGCCACTGAGCCAGGGCCCCTCCCCTAGGTGACACGCAGGGAGGAAGATGCAGCGACAACATGAGGAGATCCTTTGACTCCAGAGACAGGTGCGTGATCACAGATGAAAACAAAGGACCAGAGAGAGGGTAAAGAATCCCCTTGGAGTGGGGGTGGGCGGTGGCCAACAGCCGGTGCACTGGAGAAGCTAGATGTTACCCTGGAGAAGCAAGATGTTACCACCCTCCCCCAGTTTCTGTTCAGGCCCAGCCTGACAGCAGCATCAGACCTCAACAACCGCCAACTCGGTAGCTTCGTGCAGGAACATTTCCCTCTGAAACAGTTTGGCTGCAGGAACAATTTCCCAGCCGGCTGCTGAATGTCCAACAGGTTTAAAATGATCCAGTCTCCAAGGAGAGCCCCTGGGGTTCGCACAATTTCCCTGGAAACCCGTCCTTTTCCCCAGTGGTCAGGAAGACACTCTGCTCGTGCCCAGAGACACCGCCACAATTTCTCCTCCTGTTGCAGGGCTCCCACAAAGCCTAGCTAGCAACACTCACCCTTTCTTCGCGTTAAGGTGCCGTAGCAGGAGCAGACTGCCGAAAGGTAGGGCGTCCAAGTCCTCCGTGGCTGTGCACGTGGCGCGGCCGGACTTCACCAGAGCGGCACAGGTGGCCTCTGCCTCTGCTGGAGCCTAATTTCCGGGGTGGAGAGGGAAAAGAGAAAAGGGGGTGGTCTTTGTGTTGCAAATACAACTGAGAGCCAGTTTGGTGTCATGGTGAAGTGCACGGACTCTAATCTGGGAGAACCAGGTTTTTTATTCCACACTCCTCCACTTGCACCTGCTGGATGACCTTGGGCAAGCCATAGTTCTGACAGAGCTGTTCTTGAAAGAAGAAAAGTAAGAACACGCTTGAACACATGGGAAAACACGAAGCTGCCTTCTACAGACTCCGTGCCTTGGTCCATCAAGGTCCACTCTAACTGGCAGGGACTCACCAAGGTCTCGAGTGGGAGTGTTTCACTTCACCTAGGACTTGACGTTTTTAACTGAAGATGCCGGGGATTGAACCTGGGACCTTTTGTGCACAAGGCAGATGCTCTGCCAGTGAGCCACAGCTGCTTGACACCGGGTTGAGAGGCCTTTGGTCCCACTGGCCCAACAACATGTACTCCATCTGGTAATGGCTCTCTCACAGGCAGGCAAATGTCTATCCTGTCGCTGGCGATCTGAGACAGAGCAGGGAATGGATATGGGGCCTTCTGGATGCAGAGGAGGGGCTTGCCAGGAAAAGACCTCTCGCTGATACCTGAACATAAGGAACCCCCAGGAGGGTCAGGAGGGTCTCAGAGTCTCTTCTTGGGAACCGTTGCGGGATTTCACCAGTCGCAGAATCTGAAAGAAGAGAAGGGATTGCATTTACACCCCGCCCTTCACTTGGACTCTCAGAGCGGCTCACAATCTCCTTTCCCTTCCCCTCCCCACAACAGACACCCTGGGAGGTAGGTGGGGCTGAGGGAGCTCTTTCCAGAACTGCTCCTGAGAGAACAGCTCTGACAGAACTATGGCTTGCCCGAGGTCATCCAGCAGCTGCAAGTGGAGGAGTGGGGAATCAAACCCGGTTCTCCCGGATTAGACTCCGCCCACTTAACCACTACACCAAAGTGGCTCTCAAGCAGAAGAAACAAAGTAAACGCTTCTGTTAATACAACTACGATGTTCCCCCTTCACGTTCTCAGAATTTTAAGGGGCCCAAGTGTTCCATTCAGCACCAGACTGACGTCCGATGAACTCCTCTGGGTTCTCCTTCCTCATCCCAAAGGCTGAAGGAGAAACTCGGCACCAACTCCACCAAATCTAATCAGTCCATCCCGAGTAAGAACCTAAAGCCCCCCCTCCCCCCCGTCCCATCCAACTTCTGGAGAACTCACAAATTTGCATGCTATTTTGGGGATCTTTTGCTCGGTCCTCATAATTTTTTAATTATTTTTTAAAATTTAAAATTTTATTTAATTTGTACCCCGTCTTCCCCGCAAGCGGGCTCAGGGCGGCTTACATAATTGGTCTATAAATGACCATTCATTCACATAAAAACAGTTTAAAATGCAATAACAATAAAAGTTTTGGACCACATTTGGCTTTGGGCCAACGTAACTCCCGGCGACCTCTGACACCGGAGGGGGGGGTTCATTTACAGCCGAGTGTCCTCCACTGAAAGGAAGGCAGGGCCCCGAGTAGAGGTCTGCTGGGGAGAGTCTCCGTCGCCTTTACCTGTCGCTTCCCTCCTGGCTCCAGCGACAGCGGCTCGTTTCGCCAACTGCAAAAGGGGGGGGGAGGGTTACAAAGCGATTTTCAGCTCGCCAGGGCACATGGGTCCCAAGCATTCCCTAACCCACTGGAGATTTGATGCTTAAAAAAATAAAACAACCCCCCCCCCAAATAAAAAATACGTTGCTTGGGCAGTAGCCACCACCACAGCCCAAGAATCTTGATGGTGTGACTGAAGGCAAGCTGCGGTGGCCATTTTGTCGCCGGCTGTGTCTCCTGCGGCAGCCATTTTGTGTCCGCGCCCATCCTGCTATGTCAGAATTCCAAAGGTGCCTGCAGACCCACAGAGGTTGGGGACCAGTGTTCCCTCTAAGCTGAGTCACTGTGAGTTAGCTCACCGTTTTTTAGCCTCCGGCTCACACAATTTTGTCTTAGCTCAGGGAGGACGGCTCCAGAGCAAACCAATTAATGCAGCAGCCAAATCGCTCACTCACAACTTTCATGCCTGTAGCTCACAAAGTAGCATTTTTACTCACAAGCAGGGGTCATTTCCTGCGGGAGCGCACAGGAGCAGAGCTCCGGCAGTAAGGAGCCCGGGGGGTGGGCACGTGCAGCAAGCCCCGCCCCCTGCTCCCAGCAGCCTTCAGTCAGGCCATAAGGAGCAAGAAGCAGCCAGGTAAATTGCAGAGCCCCCCCCGGCCCGCCTTCAGGTACAAGCTCTCCCTCCTCTGTGAGGGCAGATCTATGCGTTCCCCGCCCCCAATAGCTAGCAATCCAAAACAGTCCAGTGGCACCTTTAAGACCAAGTTTTATTCAGGTACAAGCTCTCCCTCCTCTGTGAGGACAACTCTGCCAGGACAGATCTGCATGTCCGTCCCCCCATAGCTAGCAATCCAAAACAGTCCAGTGGCACCTTTAAGACCAAGTTTTATTCAGGTACAAGCTCTCCTTCCTCTGTGAGGACAGATCTGCACGTCGTCCCCCCCCCATAGCTAG